TAGGTTTGCTCCCTGTTTACTGGGTTCTGAGCACTTGTGGGAGGCAGGGGGGCCTGCTGACCCAGTGGTTAAAGCACTCAGCTTCTAACCAGGTTGTGGCTCAAACCCATCAGTTACCTCATAGGAGGAGGATGGGAATGTCTGCTCCCAGAAAGACTGTATTAGGCCAAGTTGACTAGAGAAACAAATCCAGTGGCTTTATATCAAGAAGTCATTATATAGCAAGCAAACATCCCAGCCCAGTCCAGATCAAGTCCTTAAGTCCAATACTACTCCATAAGGCTGATACTAGTCCATAAACCCCTCTTCCGACTCATGCGATGATGCAGAAGGCAGGAAGATCACAGGCCAGCGGGTGTAAAGTCTTACGGATCCAATGGTGGTGGTGGAAGTGTCACAAGGGTTGGCAGGTTTCTAGCCTGGCTCTGGCAGCTCTCCAAGTGATTCAACGGCAGGAAGGTGAAAGCAGAGGGAGAGGAAGTTCCCAGGATCCTCGTTACGGGAAGGTCACACCCACCAGGAGGTACCATAAGGCTGTGACCTGACTGGCAGGCTAGACTGCACCCCCATCTTCTTACGGGTGCCATATTGGCACCAAAAAACTATCACAAAGATTGACCGCCTTGGAAACCCCGTGGGCAGTTCTACCTTGGCCTAGAGGGCCACTATCAGCTGAAATTGACTTCCTGGGTTTGGTTAAGGTTTGGCACCAGGGACACAGCAGAGAAGCGCATGGCTGGAGCATGACCGGCAAGAGTAGGAGCGGTGGGTGAGGTCAGAGAGGTGGGCCAGTCTTCTGAACATCTGGGGGGTTGGGGGTGTCACTCATCATGGGCCCTGCTCCCCAAGTCACAATCAGCAACAGTGCCCAGGGGCTGTGGAGCTGAGTCTGACTCAAGAGGAGCCCACATGTGGCAGGGCAGAACGGTGCCACAGAAGGTTCTCAACGGATGATTTATTGAGTGCAGATTGTCAGGCCTGTCTTCTGAGAAGCCCACGGGTGGACTTGAACCTCCCACCTTTGGGTTAGCAGCAAGTATGTTCACTGCAACACCCAGGGCAATCAAGACCACACAGGTTTGCAGCAGAAAAGGTGCCTCATTTATGTTTCACCGGTCTTTCCACTCTTGACTCAAACCAAAGTTAAAATGCCATGTAATGGCTCAGGAGCCCTGGTGGCTCTGTGGCTCAGGTTCTGGGCTGATAACCGCAAGGTTGGTGGTTCGCACCCACTAGCTGCTCTGTGGAAAAGAGATGAGGCTGTCGCTCTGGTAAATAGTTACAGCCTCAGAAACCTCATCTAGGGTTACTATGAGCCAGATTTGACTCACTGGCAGTAGGTGGGTGAGGGTAGAATGTATGAACTATCACCAGTTACAATCCCAACCAATCCAAAATGGGCATCCTAATGTCTGCCTCTTCCCACCAGAAAAACAGCCCCTGGCATTGATCCTGACATCCCTCCCTGAAAAGCAGGCAGACTGCCCTTTCAGTAAAGCCCAGGAGGGAGAGCGCAAGTCCTGGGAAGAGCTTTGATTTCCTCACTGGGATGGGCTGCCAGTGTGCGGCTGAAGTAGCAGGGACAGCTGTGTCGCCGTAAGGGAAGGAAAATCATTACCTGAGCCGTGCAGGCACGTGGCAAGTTTTCTTTTTCTGGATTTCAAGTTTAATTCAGCTCAAGGGCTACTTCATGAGCACGAACCGGCCCCGGCCCTACACAGTGGACACGAGTGTTGCTCGGTCTGCCACTGCCCTACACAGTGGACACGAGTGTTGCTCGGTCTGCCACTGCCGTCTGCAAGCGGCTCAGAATCAAAGAGATGGACACAAAGTCATTTCATGGCAACGTGCTGGGACAAACGCTACACCAACATGGCACTGGGCGCCCGAGAACAGACCCAAGAGCCTGCCTACATCAGTACCAGAAAATGTTCCGTGGATTCAGATCTTGCAGACCGAGAGCAGCGTGATTGTTGCACAATCAGGTGTTCCCTTACACTGTCATACGGGCCATTGTCATCTTCCTTCTTGGCGCCAAGTGACTTTACCTGGAATGGTCTAAGAGATTGATGTTGCTGTTGTTGATGGGATGAACGGAGCAGTGCGTGGTTTGCTACAATTTTACTGGGAACCTCAAGGGATAGTCGCCAAATAATGCCGGCCCACCCATGAGGAGGAGATGGCCACAAGGCAGCGTGTGTCTCTGATCAGCATGGACACTTTGGCGGTCTTTCAAAGAACTTTCTGCTCCAGGGCCCGACGGACCACTAAGGTGGGCTCCAAGCAGCCCTGAGGAAGCAGCCCTGGTGAGCTGCCCCGGCAAAGATCAAAGCGAAGGACCCTTTACAGTCACACAAAGGGTCACCATGAATCAGAGCTCGCGTGAAGGCAATGATGTTTCAACTTGCCACATCCGTCACCGGGGAGCAGAGATGAGATGTCAACAGGGGAACTTAGAGCCCCTGACACAGCCCTGCATCATTTCCAGGATGCTGAACTTTGAGTCAGCGTTCAGCTGCCTACAGGCTTCCCCCATGCCCATGGACAAGTTTGGCCTGATACTTCTAGACATACATGTAGATGCTGCAAATACATTCATGTAGATAATAAAACATACAGGGGAAATGTTATAAAAACTTTTTCTTGTCTAGAGACACTCATATCTGTGTAAGAGAGAGTTTTATATCAAAGACTAATTGTAATAGTAAGAAAACATCCCCACCCAGTCCAGATCAAGTCCATAAATCCGATAGTACCCCGTATGTGGATACTAGTCCATAAATTCCTTTTTAGACTCACACAGCCATGCAATGGTGCCAAATGCAGGGAGATCACAGGCCAGTGGGTGGAAAGTCTTGTGGATCCAGTGGCGGTGGAAGCATCGCAGTGCTGGCGTGGGTCTCCACGTGGCTCCTCCAGCTACGGGCTCTGGCTGCATCCACGTAGCTCCATTAGGCTCATCATCAGGAATGTCTCGAAGGGAGTGTGTATGTGTCCCCCCTCCAGTGAACCATTTATCTCCTTAGCACCCCCAAACGAGGTCATCAAGCAGCAACCTGATTGACAGGCTAAACTCCACCCCTTCACTCTTAATAGTCTCAAATTGACACCAGATGATGTAACTGCCACAGCCAGAAGTAAACACCTTAGGGAATAAGCTGCTGCATCGGGGGACTTGGGACCATTGTCTTTAAGGACACAAAGTGAACTGGCAAGAACAATAAAAAGAATCTTAAAAGATTAACGTTTCCTCCCCACTACAGGGGTGCTCAGTGTGGTGCTGGCCCGGCCCGTGTGGTTTCTAGGTTGCTCTTCAACCTAGAAGAGAATAGTCTCTGTATGACTCTGTATGACCCCTGTGGTTTAAAATGGATTGCAACACATGGCCCTTGGTCAACCTTCAGGCCGGGAGCTGAACTCACTCCGACTTTGAGCCAAACCACAGATAGGCCCATGCAGTGAAGAGTCACCGAGGGGGGTGGGGGGAGTGCACGCTGTAGAACAACCAACCGCAAGGGGCCCAAAGGGCAGCTTGTGGCTGGGACAGAGCTCAGAAATGTGTGCTCACTTTGTGTCTCTGCCTCCTTTCAATCGTCCTCGCAATGTGCCGCACGTTTTCCTCATGCCTGTGGTAGTAACATCATCTCGTGTCAGCTGGAGGGTATTAAGAGTGAAGGGGTGGAGTCTAGCCTGTCAGTCGGGTCACAGCCCGGTGATGCCTCCTTGTGGGCGTGGCCTCCTCATGAGGATGCTGGGAACTTCCTCTCTCCCCTTCTCTCTGCCTTCATCTTCCTGTTGACAAGACCCAGGGAGACTTGCTGAGCCCTGTGAGACCCACTCGCTCTGATTCACCTTCCTGTTGGTGAATCACCCGGCTGAGGCCTGCCAGAGCCTGAAATGCATCCACCACCATTGGATCCACAAGACTCTGCACCCACCGGCCTGTGATCTTCCTGCATTTTGCACCATTGCATGTGCCTGCGTGAGTCTGAACAGATATTTACGGACTAGTATCAGGCTTATGGACTTGATTTGGACTGGGCTGGATATGTTCTTGGTATCGAATTACTCTTTGATACAAAGCTCTTTCTTATACATACATGAGTGTCCCTGGATTTGCGCCTCTAGTCAACCTGGCCTAACACACTGTCGTCGCACAATTCATAGACTATAGTCGAGTGCCAACACAACCTTTCTACAAGCTGGGGAACCAGACATTGTGTGACCCCCTTATTGCCATGGCCTAGAACTGAACCCACAATATCTCTGGGGAGCATGTGTACCTCGGTCTCACCTCTTCCAGCACCTATTTAACATGTCTTTGTACCGACTCCCCACCCTCCAGTGACAATCAGCCATGTCTTCCATAGCGATCCTTCACAGTATACCTTTATGGGAGCAGGCAGCCTCATATTTCTCTCTCAGAATGACAGATGGGTTTGAACCTCTGGCCATGGGGTCAGCAGCCCATCACTTATCCAACAGCATCACCAGGGCTTGTTTTACAGCTGCTCGGTCATCGTTAAATCCCTGCTCTGAACATGCCGGGGTCTCTGCTCCCCCACCTTTGAGTCTTTGCTTCCTCCCGCTGCATTGGTCCAAATACCACTCAACCTGGAAGCCCAGGTCTAAAGGAAAGCATCTCTGCCAATCCTAAAGCATGCAGCTCTCACCGCTGAGCCAGTGGGATAGCTACTCCCCGGCCCACACAAGGTCAGCACAGTCCCACCCTCTGCCTGGTTTTGTCAATCAAGTTTTATAGCCACACACGCCTGTTCATCCACATACTGTCTGTGGTTGCTTTCAGGTGACAACCACAGAGTTGAGTGGTCACAACGTTCCCCACCTGGCCCACACCTGGGTCTCCTTGTCATGTATGTGGGCCTCCTGAGGGCACCAGGGGCTCCACAAATGACACACACACACCCTTGTATCCACTGACAGTTCAGAGACAGCCCAAAGGGATCCCTTCCTGTCCATCCCCCAACAGACTCTCTTACCTGAGCGTAAAGTGGTCTGCCAGAGAGCCGCTGGTGAGAGACACGAGGAAGGTGGCCGTGTCCCCTTCTCGGACCAGGTTCAGAGGCACTGAGATGACCACGTTCTCGTCCAGGCTCACCGGGGACCACCTCAGGTCGTCCTGGGTCGGGTAGACCACCACGCTCCCAATCCTCTCCCGGGCGGGCAGTGCCGGCTGGGAGCCCTCCTGGCCCGAGTGGATATTGTTCTCCCACTTGCCGGCCTCCTCCAGCGGGCAGCCCCCTGCCTCGTCGGCTGGGTAGAGGGTGAAGTACAACTCCATGGCCGTGCCCCCTAGCCTGGCCGGGACCTCTTCCTCCGGCTCCAGGTCCAGACCCGAGCTGAACCACTCAGGCAGTAGCTCCAGCTCAGCCACGCACAGCCCTGGGTCCCCCTGCAGCCGGCAGCTGGCCGCCACCTCCCTGGCCTCAGGAAACGCAAACATCTTGACACAGGGCAGGCTGTCAGGAGGGTCGCTGGCGTCCCAGGCCATGCCGGTGATGTAAAACAGGGTCTGCACTTTGGGCCTGTTGGCAAAGATGGAGCTGTCCAGCAGGTGAGCCTTCAGCCTCCAGTTGAAGGGGAAATTCTCCAAGTGGGTGAAGGGCGTGGCAGGCAGCAGGAGCTCCGGGGGGACTGTCTTCTCCACGGCGAAGGGGCCATAGCTGGCGTTGACCAGAGGGGGTGTCCTCGTGCGGTGGATGAACACGGACTCGGCCCGGGCCTGCAGGCTGGCGTTCCTCGTGAGGTCTTGGTTGGCCTCCTTGAGGAAGAAGCACCGTTCTGCCCCCTCGATGCGGAGGCTCGCGGGGAGATAGGTAGGGAGCGAGGAGAATTTCTGCAGGCTGTCCACGGCTCCCCGGCACTCCATCACTGCACACGAAGGAAAAGCAGAGGCAGAGTCAGGGCCTGGCACCAGGGTGAGACCAACACAATGCAGCCCCTCCCCACCACGCAGCCAACCTCCCGCTGGTCCCAGCATCCCTCCCTGGCCCCGTCCTGTGGCAGTCCTGGGGTCCAGATCCTCCCAAAGAACCAATGCACAGAGGGAAGGGGCCACATCTGCCACTGACTAGAGGAGCCTGCAGATGAGCACTGGCTCCTCGTGGTCTTAAAAAGACCATGGTCAGACAAAGTGGGGCACAAGAAAATATGAAGAAAGCAGATGGTGCCCGGCTCTCAAAAGATACGGCCACTGGGGTCCTAAAGGCTTGAAGTTAAACAAGGAGCCATCTATCAGGGAAGCAACAAGTCCACATGGAAAAAGCACACCAGCCTGTGTGATCACGAGGTATCAACAGAATCAGGTAACAGGCACCAGAAGACACAAAACATATTGCTGAGAAGGAAAGAGGTCAGAGCAGAGACCATCTGTAGACAATAGGACATCCCTTCACAGAAGGGTCACAAGGAAGGGATGAGTCAACCAGGGTACAGTATAGCAATGATGAAACACACTATATTCCTCTGGTTCCTTGAGGCTTCCTCACCCCCCACTATCATGACCCCAGTCCTGCCTTTCACTATGGGCTAGACCGGAACAGGTACACTGGTACAGATAAGAGCTCTCAACACACGGAATCCAGGTCAAATAAACCCCTCAGGAACAGGAATGGGAGAAGCAATATGAGGAGGGCAGGGGGAAGCTGGGGGGAGGCGCAGAGAAGGGACAACTGATTACAATGATCGACACATAATTCCCACCCCCAGGGGATGAACAACAGAAACGTGGGTGAAGGGAGACAACGCTCGGTGTATGATATGAAAACAATAATAATTAATCATGTATCAAGAAGTCATGAGGAAGGGAGGGGAGAGAGGGAGGGGAAAAAGAGGAGCTGGTACCAAGGGCTCAAATAGAAAGTAAATGTTTAGAAAATTATGATGGCAACATATGTACCAATATGCTTGATACAACTGATGCGTGGAATGTTATAAGAGCTGTAAGAGCCCCTTATAAAATGAATTTTTTTAAAAGAATAGCTTTAAGAGCAAAACAAAAAAGACTGGGGTCATCTTTGTTGCGCATCACCCCTCAGAGAGTCGGGTGCACACACCTGGGTCTCCTTGTCATGCCCACACAGCCACGCCCACCCCGCAGACACTCCCCGTTCCTCTGCCGCTGCTGTCATTCAGGCTGTGAAGTCAGCTCCAGCTCCTGTGATGGTCACCCACTGCTGGCGAGGTGGTCTGACGCACGGCCACTCCTTGGACAGAGCAGGGCTGCTCCACAGAGCCCCCAGCCTGTGAATCTTCACCAGTGCAGGATGTCCCAAGGAGTGGCCGGTGGGCTTGCACCGCCTGCCTCATGGCTAGCAGCTGCCCACCCCTGTACCCCGCGTGGCAGCTCCTGGCGATCCCTGCCTACGACACAACGAAGCACTGCCCGGTCCTGCGCCACCCACTTAGTTATTGCTACTGTTAATCCCACTGTGGCCGTTGAAGTATCGATCTACCTGGCTGATGGGCTTCCTCTTTATCGATGGTCCTTCCCTTCCCCAAGCATGAGGTTCTGTCCCAGAGACGGAGCCTTCCTGGTAACACGTCCAAACCTATGAGAGGGAGACTCGTCCTCCTCACGTCTCAGGGTTGGACAGTGCCCTCTTTATTCAGAAGATCTGTTTGAGCAGAGACGTGGTTAGAACCCACCCAGGGGCTCCCATAAAGCTACATCCTGGAGCACCCTCTGGGGCTGTTCTACACCGTCACACACCAGTTGCCAAACATCTTGAGCGCACCGCACAGCGAAACAACGCGACAACGCCAACAGGACAGCTACACCTTATGACTGTGATGTGGGTGTTTATCCCCGGTGCGCAGGCATGCGCCGGGTGCTTGGGAGGACGAATCGTTGGGAACACTTAGACCCCTCCATGATTCGTACTGAAATCACGCCAGCCAGCTCGCTCTCTGCCCTTCAGAGGTGCTGATGACGATGCGGGAAGACAGATGCGCAAGCACGTTCTCTGCAGCCTCCGTCCGAGTTGCAAAGACACTTGGGAGCAGAGGGCTGCTGGGAATCCAACTGACAAGAGGCCACCAGCAAGGTCAGGTTCAGACCGAGAGCTTAGGGGGCAGAGTGTTTATGTTTGCAGGGGAGGAACCTCCCCGGGAAGGAGGGCGAGAATGGTGGTGTCAGTGGGAGAAGGTCATCCTCTCACTGAATCGTACATGTGGGAGTTGTACAGACGTTGAGTTGATATTATGTTTCCTTGTCTATATTCTCAACAACAGTTTTTTTAATTATTATTAATCTGAGGTCAGGTGCAAGAGTCAGAAGCTTGGACTTGAACCTGGCTCTGTCATTTCTGAACTGAGCAACCTTGAGCAAGCAGTTAGCCCCTCTCACCAGGAGCCAGGAGGGGGCAAATCACGCCAGGAACCTACACAGAAATCACCCGCTCCGGCCCAGTGTTCCCACCATCTCAGGAAGAGATGACGCTTCACGGGTGAACGTCTAGTTGGTGTTTTGTGTAGGCTTGGGGTTGCTGTGGTTGACCTTGATGGTGGTCCGGGTGAAGGTATACAGAAAGCTTTGTTTTCCATTCAGCAATTCTGACTGTGAAGTTTAAAACAGTGGCATTGCGGGAAGATGGGAAGCCGCATACCCACCACCCCATCGACCCTGACTCCTGGGAAAGTTTCTTCCCTGCAGCCCATCACACGTCCTGCAAACAGCGGCTTTCTGCTGCTTTCAGATACGGCGGCCTTGCTGTTACACCGCGGGGATTGCAATCAATGCTGCGAAACAACTTGTGTATGGATTGTTGAATGGAAAGCCAATTTACCTGTAAACTTTCACCCAGATCACAATAAAACGTTAAGAGGGGGGGAAAAAGAGGAAGAAACTTTGCAATCGCTTTATGGAATGGAAGGCCATTATGTTACTGAAAATAAAAATGAAAAAAAAAATAAGATGTTTGGTCTTTTCAGGGTTATCCTTGGTGAGCTTTCTATTCCCAGAGGGTGATATTGTAATGAGGACGCTGTGAAAAAGACAGCCACATGGGGGCTGACACATCTTTTCTTTTAAAAAGGCATCCAGAAAGTGCCTGTCAATATGGCTGGGCCCCTGTTGGGTCTATTACTCGGGATGGAGGTAGATCACTTACTTATTGATTACTACAATACTTTATTTAATTACATGTTTTATCTCCTATGGTTACAGCACGGTGTCATGCAGGGGATACTGGAGGGTCAAGATGGATGTGGTTTTTGTCCCAAACAGCCAGCAGACTTAGGAAGAGGACGTGTGTGTGTGTGTGTGTGTGTGTGTGTGTGTGTGTGTGTGTGTGTGTGAAATGAGTGTGAAGGCCATTGAAAAACCCATCGCTGGACTCCTCCACCTAGGATTCTCTTCCAGGGAAATGAAAAACAATTGCTCAGGAGGGCGATGAATACACAAGTGTGTTCCCCTTAAGCATGATTCATAACAGAAACGCAATGGATGCACCCTAAAAATCATCGGCAGGGTAATGAGTCCATAAACTATAAAAGCCAGGTTTCTGATGGAGCTCCCCCCGCCCGTCTTGTCAGTTTGTGATACTATGGTGGCTTCTATGTAAAGCTTGTGTGTGAGCCATGAACTTCAGCGCCAGGGCCTCCCTCTAGCCTCGACTAAACTCTGGGGAAAGATGACATCTGAATTTAGGAACATTTAATGATGCCGCAGAGCTGTGTTCTGAGAAACACACCATGCTGTGAGCCAACACCCTCCCTTCTCATCCCCAAACCTAACATAGCGGTGCCATTCTCTTCCCCTGTTGGCAGGTAGACCATGTGGCTGGCGCCCTGCATAGGAAATGAGGTCTCATTCAGTCTGTTGGTCTCTGAGAGGCCTTTTCACCACTGGCTGAATGAGGTGGGCCCTGAGAACGCTACATGAGAGCGTCTTAATGAGGACCAGCTGAAAGGGGCCTCTCATCACTGCCCTCCCGAGCAGCCGGGAAGAGTGTCAAGTTCAAGTTCAGAGAGAGAGAGTACAAGGTGCCCTCTGGCTCAGCGCCCCCAGCAGCAGGTGGCTCCAGGAATGTCCCAGAAAGACTTAGGGGTGGGAGCAGGGTTGGGGGCTACTAGAAACTTCTAGGAGGAAGAAACTCACTGGCCTGGCAGAGGCCCTGAGATCCCGAGTGTGTGGATGGATGTGACGGCCATACTTTGTACACAAGAGGTACCCCTGGACAGGTCCCTCCTAGGTCAAGCCTCGGGGGACCAGTACCCCCAGAACCAGATGGAACCCTGTGACTCAGAGATTAGTCCTGTTATATTGCCAGTCCCACCTAGGAAGCTAGTGGCCACAGGGTGGAGCAAATGGTTAAGCATCTGTCTATTAACCACAAAGGTGGAGGTTCAAGACCACACCACGGGCCCTCAGAAGAAAGATCTCCCTCAAAATCAGCTCTTGAAAGCCTCATAGAGGGCGATTCTACTCTGGCCGACACGGGGTCACCATGAGTCAGCATCGACTCGATAGCAACTGGTTTGGGGTTTGGTTTATTGAAAAGCTAATGATCAGTCTTCGTGGCTACTGGTGACCACCACATTTATGCACTGGAGTCTATAATTCACATAACACAAATCAGACAAGGGCCCTGGTGAGGAAGGTTCTTATTCCAATGGGCCAGGGGCCCAGCTTTTAAGAAGCACAGCAAGAGAAAGAATTCGCCCATCTTATAAAATATGGCCACCTAGCATCTGTAAGGATGACCACAGCCTCACTGGTGTCTTGGGCATGGTAACCAGGAGCCAGAGGAGGCCTGCATATCAGCATGTACATCAGCTCAGGGCGTGCACGGGTGTCAGGTGAGGGCTGCCTCCCAAGTTTTCTAATGTTTCTCTACAACTGCTCTCAATGCTGTTTTCATCATAATTGC